TCTCTAACTACAATACAATACATATGTTTATCTTACCTTTATGGAGGACTCTTGATGGCATATGGAAGATGGTGATGAGGGGGAAGGAGGAGAGGTGTTACTGTTTAGAAGGGGAGTCCCCTTCCATTATGACATCAGGCAGTGAGGAATACTCTGGGGTACGCATTATGGCACGTTTTGCCTGCTTACCACTAGGGCCTGCTTCTGATTCACTGCTCGATTTTCTCACTAGAAATCGTTCCATTGAAGATTTTTTCCCTTCTTTGCAACACTTGTTTGTAGTGAGACATCACATTGTCATTAAAAAGATCAATGCAATGGCCTACTACAGCTTTATCTGGGTGATTCTTTTCAGCAAAATTTTGCAGTCCTTCCCATACTGCACACATTTTCTTAATTAATGAGGAAGGGACACCCTCTACTGCCGCCACCTCCTCCTCCTCCCATGAAGATTTGTTGTATTGCCTAGCTAGTTCAACAACACGAGTACCATTTTCACGTTTAAGAATGATCTCTTGTTTTTTCTCTATGGTCATTCTTACATGTGTTTTCATATGTTGAACCTTACCACTGACGTTTTTAGGACCCATGGTGTGATGAATAATAATCAGTTTTATGTTCAAAAAGCAAACAAATCACCACAAAAATGTAATTTCTTATAAGCGTGATCGTCACTAAGTGGGCGGCTCCAGTAAACTGAGGCAGGTCAGCCTGCACGACCGGGAACCATACGCTCAATCAACCCAAACGTGCATGAACAAATAATGTTAGTCGATGACACTATCATAAGTCGAGTCACATTTTTTGATCAAAATTACATCGTAACTCAAAATTATTGTAAGTCGGGGGCAATTGTAAGTCGAGGTGCCTCTGTACACAAAAGTGTGGAAAGAATATGCAAAGAATACTAACATAACAAACTATGTTTCAACGTACTGCCAATTATGTTATACAGTGTAACCTTTGTAGACAACTGCCCTAGAAGACAAATTTTTTGGAATATGACGTCAAATTCGCCATAAAATTTGAATTGGTACACGACGGCTTACTTGGAAAATGACGTCTATTCATACACATATGGGTCGAACGAGCACGTGGTGCTGGGGGCACGGGGCGAGGCACTCTGTTTACAAATCTATCGCACACAGTGACGACTGCGGCCGCGCTTTGAATTCTTTGTGAAGAAATTCATTGTGTGTCTGTATTTTTGCTTTTTATATCATAAACGTTCTTATTATATATCACGCCATGGGACTAAGATGGATGGTGAGAAAACTGGATGGATGGATAGGGTGGGATAGATGGATGGTGAAGGGGGACTGGATGGGTGGTGGGGGGACTGGATGGATGGAGGGGGGACTGGATGGATGGAGGGGGGACTGGATGGATGGAGGGATCTGAATGGATACAGGGACTGGATTGATGGATGGTGGGGGAAATGGATGGATGGATGGATGGATGGAGGGAGGGAGGGGGGAACTGGATGGATGGATGGAGGGGGAACTGGATGGATGGATAGGGGGATGGATGGATAGGGGGATGGATGGATAGGGGGGTGGATGGATAGGGGTGGATGAATGGATAGTGAAGAGGGACTGGATGGTTGGTGGGGGACTTGGTGTATGTAGAGGCTGGATGGATGGATGGTGGGGGAACTGGATAGATAGATGGTGGGGGAACTGGATAGATAGATGGTGGGGGAACTGGATAGATAGATGGTGGGGGAACTGGATAGATAGATGGTGGGGGAACTGGATGGATGGATGGATGGTGCGGGAACTGGATGGATGGATGGTGGGGGGAACCGGATGGGTGAATGGCGAGGGAACTGGATGGATGGATGGTGGGGGGAAACTGGATGGATGAATGATGAGGGGACTGGATGGATGGATGGTGAAGGGGGGACTGGATGGATGGATGGTGAAAGGGGAAACTGGATGGATGGATGGTGAAGGGGGGACTGGATGGATGGATGGTGAAGGGGAAACTGGATGGATGGATGGTGAAAGGGGAACTGGATGGATGGATGGTAAAGGGGGGGGACTGGATGGATGGGGGAAGAGGAACTGGATGGATGGAGGGTGGGGGATCTGTATGGAGGCAAAGTGGAGGGAACTTGATGGATGGATGGATGGATGGATGGATGGATGAAGGGGGGACCTGGATGGATGGTGGGGAGAACCTCCATCCCCCACACCGCACCCTCCCCGATATCCCCATCCCGCCTCTAGACCCTCCTCGCTTCCTCTATCCCCCACACTCAAAAGGTGACACCTGTTGTGTCAACACCTGCATCAGAGGAGCTCCAGGATATTTCACAATTCCTAAGTATTGTAGTACAGGTTGATGATAGTGAGTGGTGTCCCAAGAAACATGAAAGTGTAGTGCTTTGGAAAAATAAGTGAGATAACACGAATGTGCCAAGTGAAGTAAAAAATTGGATGAGAAAAGTTGCCCAAGTGTTCACAGTGCAGACAACAACATTCAAGATGGCCGCCGGCAAGAAGGAAAACAAAACAGAGCTAGATTTTGGAGGTTTTACTAAAGAAAGCATTGATATAAGCAGTCTACACAACAAATTGGCAAAATTAGATATTATAGTGAACTATCATGTAATCAGCAAATTGAAAGTAATGACCACTTGAGTAGCAAAGTTTTAGGTTTTGTGGGGTTAGTGAAAGACTTATGCACGGACAAGAATCAATTGGAAACAAATTGTAAAGCCATGGAAGATGAAAATAAACTTTTAAAAATAGCTTTGGAAGAAGTTATAGCAAATTTAAACTTAAATGACTACGATAGGATAGGTTATTAAATTCAACAGGCAAAACAGCTTTTGTCAGTACAGATGGAGGAAGTTACACAGGGAATAGAACAGTGCAAGGATATGCAACTCGCCTATGTACAAGTGGCCAAGGAGAAGGAAAAAATAGAAGAAGCAGTAAAGGAAGCCAAACACAGCAGCAACCAGGATAAAACAAACATTAGGCTAGAAGTCAGAAAGGAACTGGCATCAAATCCTAAATTGGTGCAAAACACAGTTGATCGAAGTCCCTAATAATTTTTGGTTGCAAAGAAAAGTAGATAACATCTAGGTCAGAAAGAGCTGTAGAAGACGATTAAGTAGTAGATAAAATTGTTGGCCTCGTGGAAGGTCTTATTACCATAGAGAATGTCTGCAACTACAGGAGGATTGGAAAGTACGTAAAAGGGAAAGATCGACCTTTGAGGATCACCCTAAACGGTGCCAAACAGATGGAAGATGTACTAAGGAATGCTAGAAAATTACAAAGTGATGAGGAAGGGAAAGTATGGTCGTTAAGACGAGATCTTTCAACAGAAGACAGAGAGAAGCTGAAACTGAACTTCGTCGAGACAAACTGTCTAAACGAGAGAAGGAATGAAGAAGAAATCAATTCTTTTTCTATTAAAGTGATAGGGGTAGGCAGACCAGTAAAATGGTACAAAAAGGCAAACCAACAAAATCACTAGAGAACGGGGTGGTGAAGAATAAGGAAAGGAGGAACATTGTCTCTGAAAATTGCATACACCAACATAGATGGAGTGAGATGAAAGATACTAGAGTTAAGTGATGTAAGTGCTGCAGACACCAGACAGTGTTGCACCCACGGAGACAAAACTTGAAGATGATATTTTAAATGAGGTCATATTCCCAATGGGCTACTCAGTTTGGAGGTGGGACAGAAAAATTAGGAAAGGCGGTGGCGTTGCTGTGATGGTGAAAGAACACCTAAAGGTAAACGAAATGATGATTGTCAATCCACAAGAAGTTGACATAATAGCTCTAGAGATCTGCAATCAGGATGATAAACTAACGATCATAAATGCTTATAGTCCACCGCCATGCAACACATGGTCAAAGGAGGAGCTGGATAATAAACGTGAGTCTCTTATAACAAAAATGAGAGAGATCATAGCGAGAGCTGATAAAGATAGATCACGACTGTTGGTAGTCGACGATTTCAACTTGAAATCCATAGACTGGGAGGCATATGAAGCTAGAACAGAGGATTTTTGGACTTGTAGATTCGTAAACCTCATCCTGGAAACATTCATGTTTCAACATGTTAAACAAGCTACGAGGATGAGGGAAGGGGATGTTCCCTCCATGCTGGATTTGATATTTACCAGGAAAGAGGACGAGATATTTGACATTCAGTACTTCCCTCCTTGAGTAAATGACTGTAAATGCCTAACCGGTTGCTACCACAACTGTGAATGCTTGAAATGCATGACTGACTTGTGACTGTAAGTGACTGGTTCTGACTGGCTGCCAGATGACAGATGCAGTGAAATGTTTGAAAGGAAAATTTGGAATCAGTGATGCAGATATGAATGCGCTTAAGACGAGCAGGAAATGGTCTCTTCAACTCCTCCCGCCTCCTCACCATCCCCATGCACCAACACCGCTCCTCCCTCCCTCCCTCCCTCACTATCTCCCATTCGCCAACAAGAGCCCTCAGTAAAGGTGAAGGGCAGTTAAATGTTCACTTATTTTATTTATGGTATATATTTATACCTGATTGTTTTGTGTATGAAAAATATGAATAGTATTCTGCATAAAATATATTTTAAGTTAATATTTTTGGGGATGTGGAACGGACTAATTCAATTTACATTATTTCTTATGGGAAAATTTGTTTTGGTTGACGACGTGTCTCTGGGAACGGATTACGATCATAATGCCTATAACTTAAGTGGTATAACGAAGGTACCACTGTATATATGGTACTGTATTTAACATACAGCTAGGACTACATGTAGGGGAAATTTACTTATATGGTATATAAACATTGCTGTATTTGAAATTCTAATAATTACATGGTCAAGTGGATATTTTCCAAGAAAACAGCATTCAGTGGAAAAAACATTAATTTCTGAACAGCACTTCGGAAGTTTCCCTGGATTTTGCTTCTGGACTCGCCCAGGACACTTGATAGTATGCCAGGCCCTGAGCAATTTTTTGCCCAATTATAAGT